GAATTTGAAAAGATACACATTCGAGTGATTGCAGAATCACTCTCTTCAGAGGCAACCACCATTGGACTGGAAATGGGAGGGGAACTTTAACTCCTTACTTTAACCCTTCATTATTGTTGAATTTTTATAACGAGGTAATACATTTGTCACACACACACACACACGCACACACAATTTTGAGTCAAGGCGTGCCTGCCTCTAAAGCCCAGTTTCTTTTCTCTTCACTACAGTGTCATCCCACATCGCTCCTTTCAACTTCCCATTCTGTCCTCCTTTCTCACACTGTTCTCTGAACACAGGACTTCTTCCCATATTGTTTCTTTGTACTTGCTGTTCCCTGTAGCTAGAATTGCCTCCTGGAATGGGTATATGCCTAGTCAGCCTTTGGCTCTATTTCAAACAGTCACCTTCTGATGGCATTTGCACACACCTATATTACAGTACTTCCCATTTTATAAAATTCTGCCTTAGCTTCTCCTCTACACTAATGGGCTGGGGCTGTGTACTTTTCACCTTCTTCTTGCATGCCTCTCCCATTACCTGGCCCAAGTTTACACTAAGAGCTCTATCATAGTATAAGGGCTGGCACTTAGGTGAGGACCTTCTCGTGGAGATAGGTCTAGAGTCAGAGCTGGGAGAGCCAGGCCCATACTCCGGCTTCAGGCTTATTTTCTGGGATTCAGCTTCCTGTCTTCCTTGTGGAAAAGAGGATCTTTACCCACCAACCTCCTCTGCATACCCTCTCTTTCAGAGATGGGGAGGATCTGGCTGTAAGAGTCTCTGTGTTAGTCACAGTATAACTTTCTAGTTCCCTTTTGGCCTCCCTGGTAGAATCACTTATGCCCTGAGTATAGAATACAAAGGTAAGCCCATCTGAAGTCTAGATCTGGAAAGATTATAAGCACTTCAAGTTTAGCTGCTGAATGTCACTCTAAAGCATTCCATGGGGATGTTTTAAGGTGACTATCTATCTATCATCTATCTATCTATCTATCTATCTATCTATCTATCTATCTATCTATCTATCTATCATCTATCTATCTATCATCTATCTATCTATATTTATATATCATTTAATCTACCATCTATCATCTTCCATATATATTTATCTTTAAATAAATTTTTCTTCATAATTTCTTTTTTGACCTGTAAATTATTTAGAAATGTTTTTTAACATCACATATGTGGCTATATTTTAAAAATTATTGTTTGTGATTGCCTTATAACTTAATAACATTACAAAGAGCTTAATTTGTTTGATAGTCTTAGTTCAGGTTTCTTAGAAAATTTAAGTCTTCTAAGTTAAACTTACATCTTAACACTTTATTATGAAGTTTAATCTTAGGGAAGTAGTAATAAGGAGGAAAGGGC